TTTTTAATCTTGCTCACCTAACTATTCTTCTGGCAGAGACGCTCGAGGTCCTTCATTTCGCCGTGACAAATCCGCGGACAAAGTCGGAGTTATTTGTTCATATGTTCACATTGCACACCTGCACTGGAAGTTCGTAAATAATTAAAAATCACTGAGCGAAAAAAAGCGTCCCTCTCGCACTACTTAATTCGGAAACACAACCCCGCGCGACTTCTGATTTAGCTCCTCACCGTTGAGACGTCGCCTCGCGACTACATGGTCGATGTTAGGCCATCGACGAATCGATACCGTTTCGATTAAAAACGATTTAAACCAAAGTGGAGAAAGGCCAATATGCTCTCGTAAAATCCTTACGTCGAGGCTGACGATTATTCGTTTACATTCCGATTGGTCCCGATTTTTTCCGCGCTCGAACGATCACGTTTTCATCTGTGTGTAACAAAGAAATTCAGTTCACAGTTTCTCTCGCGACTCTCGTTCCATCTTTCGCAAGTTAATTTCACATCGAGAGGTCTTGGCACTCTCCCTCTCTCTCTCTCTTTCTCTCTCTCTCTCTCTCTCTCTCGTAATGTACCCGCACACTCAGCCTCTCGATCGTCGATTTTTCCGGCACGATCGCGTCACTCTACTTTCGTCGGACGTGTGCATCCGGTACGCCGATCACAGGATTCTCTCATCCCTCAAAGGACTCCTATTTAAAATTGCCGATTCTATTTCCACGATAGAGAAACACCCGCTCCAAAACCGTGCGCGCCGAGGATCGGGCGGTGACTGAAAGCGTCGCGCGGTCTCGCGCCCCGCATTTCTGTCCTACTCCACCCGGCTCTCGCTCCCTCTTTGATGCTCTCCCTCTCGCTCCGGTGGGACTCCGCTCTCTTCACGGCGCACGTTCTCCACTCCTCTCGCTCGCGCTTACGGGATAAGGAAGAATGTTCCTCGCAGCTTCCCTCTATCCGCTATTTCATTCCCGTGCAGGTTCAACCCCTTCTCGCCTCCTCTCCTTCTTTCTCCCTCCGCCCTCCCTCCGTTCTCCTTGCTTCTTCATTATTTTATCGTCCTCGTCTTACGCACGCCGTCCGTTCCGTTTCATCTCGCGAAATAACTCTGCTTCCATCTCCGTCTACGTTTCCCTTACTCTCACGCGGCATCCCATACGCACGTATCCACCCTCTTGCTCGTACCCCTTGTTTGATCCCTTCGCGTCCAGTGCACGCGCGAGCATCCGACGCAGAGTGCCACGCCTACCCCTTCTGTGTACGTGCCATTGATGCGAGAGGGAAACTTAGCTCAGTCCCGAGCTTCCACTACAATCCGGCTTTTTCGTTCAGCGTAAGTTTCGGTGAATTACAGCTTTGATTATGCACAAACGTTGTCGGAATATGACACATTATAGTGGCGAACACTTTGCCACAAAAATTGTCTCATAAATTTTAAGTCAATTGTAGTTATAATGCGCGGTTGATAAAAATCACAGAAAATTTGGTGCGAAAATTAAGGGCTGAAGACCGAAAGTTGAAGACTAAGAGTTAAGAATTAAGGAGTACGATTTTAGAGTCGTGTTGCACGATATTCGAGATTGTGAAATATCAAGATTTATGTGCTGAGAAATTTACAATCGAGATTGCATCTAAATTTTAGATTAGTAATAAGCGTATGCTAGTGGTTATTGTCCCGAATGTACTCGCTAAGATATTTCCCTGTATTCTTGCAAGCTAAGATTCTTTTCTGCAATCTTGACATAGTTTATGAAAGCAAGAATGGCATTTTAGTTTTTTGCTTACAAAGTTTTATAAAGTGACATAACACACACATAAAGGAATTTTATCACTGCCATTTATTCGAATTTTAGAATTGGACTATTTCGATCTCAATTTCCGCATCTTTCGCGATTGTTTGTTAAGGAATTCATCAATAAATAGACATATAATATGATTTTGGTATAGAATATTTTAAGTACTGGCTACATTTCTATGCGTATAAAGTTTTAAATAAATAAAATTGAAATGTAATCTTAACTTTTTATGGCTTACGAGACAAACAAGCATGATCGTACTCATATTATTTAATTTGTATAAATTAGTTATGTTTGTAACTTAAACAATATATATAACTGTGCGCTTTCATATATCTATTTCTAATTAAATATTTATTTCAACGACACACACAATAAGTTGAATGAGCTTTTAACGAATATTTAAAAAAGATCAATACCTAAGTTAAATTCAGCAATGCTTCGTATGGATTTTAGCAATACTTTATATGAACTTATTTAATCGAGCTAATAAGAGGATTAAGTTATAAAATTTGAATAACATTTTAATATATAAAAATAGTTGACAAATACTCAAGAATTGAAATTGATACAAATTATAATACCATTTTGAAGCAATCTTTTAATTAGTGTTTCCAATTTTTAATTTATTCTTCGGTCATATTTTTCTCTAAAAGTACTGCAGATTCAAAGCCTTTTAACTGTGAATATTAAAACGTGCAGTTATTAACATTCAAATGAAATTTTTGACAAAGGAAAGTTCAATACAAAGATTACTTGGAGAATAAATTCCCGCTACTATATATTATTTCGAGATGTCGTGTATATTAAATAGTAGTCGACGTGGTATGACGCTGCCATTCATATATACCATTTGAAATCAATTTTTTGGCATCGACACGTCGGCACTTTTGCTTCCGGTCGACGCTTCACAAAAAAATGGAAAAGAGAGGTGGTTGGTTTCTGAGGGAATTCTACCGTTGAGCATCAACAAGAAAAATGTAATGAGTGCAATTGCATTTCTATGAAAGGAACACAATAAAATAAAGTTTATACACATGTAAAAAATATATAAGAGATTAATTTGTTCTTAATTATTCTACAATTAACGTTGGTGGTAGTATTAGTATAATTATTTTACGTTAAAAATCGAGAAATTTCCTTAAAACCTAATAAAAAAAAGATTAAAATAAAAATCCATTGATTGATTTAAAGTTCTGAACTAATAATAACAACAACAAATCTATGATTGGATTGACTGTAACTTACAATTATTTATTCAATCTAAGTACATACGTGCAACTTTTTGTATCATAGAAAAATCTTTCCTATAAGTTAATAATTATATAAAATCTTATAAAACAGAAAAGAAAGTCAATACAGTCCGTGCAGAATATAGGTGGCCTAATGGTATGCGTGAATTTTTATATATATGGTATCTAATACGTCCTGCGCGTCGATTTAAAAGCAAATGAATTTTCTCACTTCCATAGATACTGTGTTGTAAGATTGTAAGGTAATCGACGATAGGATGCAGGTCCAGGTTGAAATCTTAGCTGAAGTAATATTTTTTCGAATAAGAATTCTTTACAGTGACAAGGAGCGGTTGTAAGAATGTTGGTAAATATCAAAAACATTCAAATGTTTATCGATTTAAAGATATGTGAATTTACTGTTCCACTATAGAAACTGTGTTTTAAAACCGAAAAGTAATCAACGCGCAGAACATGTTGAAAATAAAATTTCACACATTAAACCATTGGACTTATCTACATCCTGCTCGGACCGTATTGACTCTCTCTCTCTCTCTCTCTCTCTCTCTCTCTCTCATATTGATTAATATCATATCGGTTCACGTTTCAAATCTTCATTATTGTAAAATTATTTAATATACGCTTAAAACAAAATTTAAAAACTTTATAAATGTATTAAAACATGATAAATAAGGCTACGGTCTAGTTATATTAATTTGAAAAATACTACCGCTGATAGATGCTGCAGAATTGCAGCAAATACAAAACTGGTAGTTACTTTTAATTAAAAGAAATAATTTTCTTTAAATTTTCGAACTTGGAAGAAAAATCTTGCTGGCATTCATAACGGCGAATAGTATCCTCTTGAACCCGTAGGTTGCATAAATCAAACGCGGGTGTAGTCTGCGTAGGGCGAAGTCGCGTGCCAACTACGGTCGACCATGAGCGATGACGTAACGCGCAGCCCTTCGAGGGACGCAACTGCAGCTGAGCAACATCTCAATGGTGCAGTCCCGAGTTGGGGTAGGTCAATGCGCTGGGTAAGATACATTGGGGTCGCGATGGAACGCGTCGACCAGACGGCTTTCTACGTTTTTGTTTCAATCTATGTAATCAGGGACGTGTAACATACTGAGGACTTGATTTCAACCGTGTTCGCGATTATATTCAAACGTGTAATTTGAGCAACAAGCACTGTATTCGTTATATCAGCGCGACATATGCCTATCATAGAATTAAATTAAAACTAATACAAAGCTGAGGTGTAAATATGCAATTTAGAAAAGCGTGAAATTTTAATTTAATTTTCCTATCTCGTTTTATTGCTATTAAAGATATATCGGCGTTGTTTATTTTGTCCATTTTGCCGGAGTAAGTTTTTCGCTTAGCACTTAAGTAAATAAAAGTATAAACAAAATTAAGAAGATAAACTCTATATGTTACATAAGCGGATAAATTTTGTTTTTTGCAAATAAAGTTGCTTTAGCGGGATTAAAATGTTTCTTTAACATCATTTATGTTATTCGCAAGTTTCATAATTTGCAGCATATGTAAGGAAAATGCACTGGCGAAACAAAGCAGAGAAAGTAGTAAAAGCAAAGATTCGTCGGACGTACCGGCCATTAAATATGCGTCACTATAAAAACCGGTATACGTAGCAAACCGGTAACCGCTGGGCTTTTTTCTCGCTTTTCTCGCTGAATCGTGCAAATGCACTAATGCTAATTTATTATACAAAAATTCCATTTCATTTTGCAAATAATCTCATGAAAATTTGTGCATTTTCATTAATTAACTCGAAATTTGAGATTAGTTACAAAATAATGTGGGACTTTTTATTATAATTCAGTTTAACGAGACCTGTATACGAATAGGTGGATATTTTATACTGGGCACCTTGTATATGGAGAAATTTACGATACATATAAGAAAAATAGTTTCATAATTTCACATAATTCTACGTTTTCTTCGGCATACTGCATAGTTTCTATATCGAGTAAATTACCTGATACGTACATTTAAACCTCTGCTGTTGCATATAACGTACTATCTGGTACCGGTATCATCACTGCCATGTTTGCCGCACCTACTGTGTCCCTATATCGGATGTACATGCTCCTCGAGGACGTTATAATTACAACTATTTTGGAAATTCGTGTCGAGATAACCGACCGACTAGCCGTGACAAGATTGTCTTCGTGCAAAACCGCATTTCAGAGCAGACTCGCGCTTATCTCTTATTCCAATTATCAATGCTATCGTTACAAGCGGGTACAGAATACCGTTGTGTAATTCCCGATGTATAATAACTATACTTAATACAATACAATATCACTATAATTATTCTAAAATAAAATTTTCAATACATATTATTTATAAAGCAAACGTTCTACTTGAAATACGTTATTTCTAAAATATATATATAATCAGTGCCGTAATTAAACACGTGCAACAAGTGCGCAGGGCCCAAGACGTAGGAGAATCCTGAAATGGAACTGACAAAGAAATTCAATATTATCAAAACTTATAATTATTTAAATTTTCAAATGTTTTAATTTTAAAGGTTGTATACCGCTAAATAACCTAAAGTTTATTAAATTTATTAAATAATAAACTAATCAGAAACTCTTCAGGGTCGCCAGCAAAAATTAAAAACATATAATTTGGTTGACCATATCTGGCAATTTTAATAATTTCGTAT